CCCGCCCACGGCGCCCGAAACCGGGTAGGGCTGGGGCGAGTCAGGGATCTGAGCGCTCAATGGGGGAAACCTAGCCACCCCCGAGTGGGGTGGGAAGCAGGGCATCCCGGGGCAGGTTCCAGCGGTTCTGTGAAGGGGTTCGTGGGAGAGATTTGAAAATTTGCGGATGGCCCGCTGGCATAGCTCAGAGGTTGAGTGTGGACCTATGAACCAGGAGGTCACACACGGTTTGATGCCAGGGCTGTGGGTTCAGTCCCCAGTGCGGGGAAGGGGTGGTGGTGTGTGTGTGCAGAAGGCACTGTTTAGCGTCCTGGACGGGCTGCTAGAGATAGTGGTCTGATTTGCTACAAGTCTGACTTGCAGAGAGCGGGCCTGGCTTCCTGAGTTGGTTGCTGCAACTGCTACTGTTATATCTGGTCTGGCCATTGCCCATTTGTATATGTAGTCTCTTCCCTTCATTGTATTGCCCCGGGTATCCTCCCAAAAGGGTAACAGATTGGGGACCACCAATATCAAGGTGAAGAGTAGAATAGGGTGGAGGAGCCAGCCCTGTATTCCCAAACCCAAAGGTCCTACTGAAGACGGATGGCTCTCCCATCTAATCATATATGCATGGCCCATGAATGTCCTAAAATACTACCCCCCAATCCCCGACCCATGGTGCCCTCCACTTACATGCTCAGCTTCACATCCACCCTTCTTTAGTCCCCACCTTCTCCTTCTAAACTCCATCTCAAAACATGAGGTCTTGGTGGACATTTGCAAAAAAGCAAAGAGGTTAAGATGTGAGTGTGCCCGCAGAGCCTTCCTGGGTGAGGTGAGAAGGGAGGGGGTATCCTGGGGCAGGTAATGCTTGTCCTGTGCAGTGGGAAGGCCTTGTTAACTGTGTTGGCTTGCTGAGTGAGAGGACAGCCACCGCCAGGGGCAGGCAGCAAAGTGCGGCATGTACATGGGATTCGATGCCTCCTCGGGGCCCCGCAGGTCATAGGAATCATACCATTCGCCTGGCCTCCCAGGTTGGAGATGGAATTGAAGATAGATATCAAGGTGAAGAGTAGAATAGGGTGGAGGACCCAGCCGTCCTACTGAAGACGGGGATGGATGGCTCTCCCATCTAATCATCATGGCACGTGAATGTCCTAAAATCTCCCCCCCCCCTTACATGCTCTAAAATAACTTTCTCCATACCCACCCTTCTTTAGTCCCCACTTTCTCCTTATAAACTCCATCTCAAAACATGAGGTCTTGGTGGACATTTGCAAAAAAGCAAAGAGGTTAAGATGTGAGTGTGCCCGCAGAGCCTTCCTGGGTGAGGTGAGAAGGGAGGGGGTATCCTGGGGCAGGTAATGCTTGTCCTGTGCAGTGGGAAGGCCTTGTTAATAATGCTTGTCCTGTGCAGTGGAAGGCCTCGTTAACTGTGTTGGCTTGCTGAGTGAGAGGACAGCCACAGCCAGGAGCAGGCAGCAAAGTGAGGCGTGAACACGGGATTTGATGCCTCCTCGGGGCCCCGCAGGTCATAGGCATCATACCATTCACCTGGCCTGGAGATGGAATAGAAGATGGCATCAAAGCATGTGGACCATCAGCAGCCCTCTCAGGTTACTTACAAAATTCTGTTCCTGTAGATGAAACCCCATAGATTCAAAGCCCACAGATAAAAAAGTCAGTGGCTAGGAATCTGGGAGAGAAGCCTCAGAGAACTGGGTCTGAACTGCCTTTGTTGGGTCTAAGAGAGACTTCCATGTTTTCCCACTTGTTCTTGACATGAAATTCAGGTCCCTGGTGCTGTACAAAGTGTGGGGAGTATAACTGAAAACAAAATCCACGCCTAACCCCCCAAATCTCTCCACAAAGATGGAAAAGTAAGAAACCAGTTATGTTACTGAACAAGCATTAAATCAGAGTGAGAGAAGTATCACAGGCAACCACCTGAAGGGACTGCAAAGACAAAACAATCTTGCTCTGCTGCTGCTACATGAATAAATCGATTACATTAGGTAGGTTTCCGCAAGGTGGAGTCAGGTAACAATTTAGGCCATTGGCTCCCAGGAAACTGGGAAATAGAGTGTTATCTTCCTCAATGATTACATTGCAACGAGGTGGCTCCCAGGTCCTTGAGGAAACGGTCCTGAGTTGTAAGACTGGCAAGTGACTTATATGGTCATGAAAAAGATTTAAGTACATTTGGAAAGGACGAGGAAGGAAATTCTGAAAGAAAAGGGAGAAGTGGGGGAAGCTCTTTTCCCCTTCCTCTCACCTGGGAGAATTAAGCCTCTTATTTTAAAACTAGA